TGGAAAACATACGTGGAAAGTGTATGGACGTCGGTTGTGGTCCTGGAGATATAACAAAGGAAATTCTATTACCGGCTATTGGCTCAAATGCACAATTAATTGGTAAAAGAATAATAAATTGCAGAAATATTTATACAAAAATTAAGTTATATTTGTATATATTTAATTTAATGTTTGCATTTCGTGAAGGTACGGATATTTCGGAGAGCATGATCAAATATGCGAATGAAACATTCAGTGAAAAACGGTTGCAATACGAGGTATTGGATATTGTAATCAAAAATTTGCCTAAGAAATATATTTCTGAATTTGAACATATATTTTCATTTTACACTTTGCATTGGTGCAGCGATATTCGGTAAGCAATATCTTATATAAAATTAATTTAAACTAAATGTCAACACTTATTGATATAACGGTACCTTATTAACAAACCCTTTAAATAAACGCAAATTAATTTCTTAATTCTTACAATCATATTGTGCGTGCATCAGTTTTAGAACAGAACAATTATTCAAATAAATTTTATTTTAAATATTTGTATTCAAATGCTTACACTTTGATACTTGCCATATTATTTTACGTTTTAACATAATCGTTTATAATATTTCTCGATATTTCTATAATAAAATAATGACATAATTTGAAAAAATAATAAGTGCAAAATATTAGTGTTGTAACAGATACCTGCTAAAAGATATCTAGATATAGATACAGGTTCTTTGTGGAAAAAGTATTTAATTACAGGTATAGATACATTTTTAAAAAATTATCTGGTGATAGATACAGGTACAGTATAAAAGTACCCAGAAAATTTAGTTACTTTTTAGGTTTACATCTAAAAAAAAAAAAATTGCACAAAAAAATTTTATTTCAAACTACTACTTATGCAGTACTTATAACATAAAGACGTGTTGTTTATAAAATATTTATAAAATAAAATCGTTGGCTAATTGCCATGTTTCTTTTAAAACTAATTAGCACTACAAACGTACGCTTCGCGCACACTATTTAACACTTATCTTATTATTATTTACAATTACATCAACCTCAATACACACAACTGTCAAAATGCAATGACAGCCGCTTACACAAAGTAAGCGCAGCAAGACAACCAATCAGCATTGTGGAAAAGCGACAACAATATTTTCAAGAGATGAGAGTTATCGATGTCATGCCTTTTTTTAGATAGAACTAGCACTATACAAACACGCGCTTCGCGCGCGCTATTTAACACTTCTTATGCAACCTCAACCTCAACATACACATACTAACATCAATCTCAATATACACAACTGTCAAAATGCAATGACACAGCCGCTTACACGAAGTTAGCGCAGCGAGACAATCAATCAGCATCGCGGAAAAGCGATAACAAATAATTTCGAGAAATGCGAGTTATCGACTTTACATGTACTTTTTTAGATAGAACCTTCAAATGGCACAAGAGTGCGAATTCGCACCGCTAAAATTTTTGACATGTTGACATTTTCACAAAGTATCTGTCGCGGCTGTTCGCTGAGTAGTCGTTGCACCAGTGTGCCATTAGTGGATGCTCGAACGAAGTGTGCCATTTGAAGGTTAATATAGTTGTCATGTTTTTTTTTTAATTAATAGTGTTTCAAACATTAAGTCGATTTTGGGGAAAAGAGGGAGGGTTTAAAATTTGACCTGTATTAAAGAGTCTTTCAACGAATGCAGAGGACGGCCGAAATCTCGTAATAATAATCATAAAATTGCAAACATTATCACGAGAGATAAGACATACATATAACAATCAAAAATTTATATAATAAAATTTAAAATAATAATATAATATAATTTATATTTATAATATTAAATGATATAATGTATAGATAAATAAAATAAATGATAAATTTATAATTATAATTGTAATAATAATGACATAATGTATAAATGAATACCTTGTACCTTATAAGAATCTAGATAAAGTGCTTATATAGGTACTTATGCTGCAGTATGATAGATACACTTATAGGTACTTATAGGTACTTATATCTAGGTTACAATACTGCAAAATATATATGAATTTGTCATGTATTTTGCATAATTAATAAATGTATTAGGAAATATAATATTTAAAAATATTTTAATATGTGTGTTAATATATACATATATTAAATTGTTAAAAATTTAATATGTATATTCTTTAAAAATTAATTACATTTAGCTGTTTTACTTGACAGACAAGCCTTCGAGAATATTTATCAAATGCTACGGCCTAATGGAACTATGCTTTTGTCTATAACAGTAAGTCATGATATATTTGAAGTTCTCAAATTTTTGACGCAGGACATCCGCTTTGCACAATATATGCCGGTAAATTATATTATGTTATAATTATTATTTTATTTATTTCATTATTACTTTTACTGCATTTATTAGTTTTGTACTATTTTACAATAATTATAATTTGAATTATATCATACGTATTATATTTTGTCATTTCATCAACTCTCGAACCATAAATGGCATAACCCAAACAGCACAAGGATGTCCTAAGGATGTCCCCAGGGCGTCCAGGACGGGATTTGAGGATGTTCTCAAAATGTCATATTTTCATCCAGGGATGTCCTAAGGACATCCTGTGGTATAGCAAATAAGCACCTCATCCCCAAGTAGCACATGAACGTTTTAGAAACGTTTCATAACCGACCCTTGAAAACGTTTCTGAGTGGTTAAGATGTCCACTCGAAAAACGTTTAAATACATATTTCTTTTTTAGTGAAAAAACGTTTAAGAAATATAATCAAAATATCATTTTTCCTTTATCTAGGAAAAAGTTTGCTTTTTCACAGAATTAAATTAATTTATACGATAAATTATTTAAATAATTTATTCAATTACATTTAAAAGAATATATTTTCGGCCAAAAATTCAGGTCTTATGTGGAAATTCATGTGGGCTGCTATATATTATTTTAACAAAAAATTTGTTTTTATTTTATAATTAATTACATATTATTATTTGTAGAGTTTAATTTGTTTCGCATATTTTCTGTTATTATTAATTACAATTTATACGCAGATTTATAATTTTTGAAAACACATCGAGATATTCGAGATTCAAACCTGAAATCCCTAGAACATCAGACTTGTATGTAAGCTAACGCTAAGCTAATGATACTTTGTTCAAAGGGATTATTCTTTCCATTATATAGATTCCAGAATAAAGTACAAAATATTTCGTAAACTATTGATTTTTCGATAATTCCACTATTTTTATATGCAGAATAGTTAGAGGAATTATATTACTAGTGAATTTTCTTTTTCACGAGGTCTTAAAGTAAAACACAATTTTATACTTGTTTCGGATTAACAAACAACACACCACAGCCGCGTTGTTAAACAACAGCGAGATGACGTCACACAAAACATATTCCCCTCTCTCTACGAGTTTTGAGAGAAGCGTTTTGGAATGGCGCGAGCGCTGAGTTTTGCAAAAAAAGGAGTCAGTCCGCCTGCGACGATCCCCAGCACGCATAGAATTTTGCTCGTGGAGAACTCTCAAAGAAATCCGGAAGCCATCGTCGTTATACGATCCGTGATCGCTATTTTCCGACTTCAATGCTCAGCGGATCTAAATTGACTGATGCGTTGATTCGGCTACATTCGATATCCGAAACTGAGTCACGGTGTTCGTGTTCAGTCAAGTGCCCGCCTTGCAAAAGACAAGAGGTCTGCGACGAATAAGATTTGGAATTTGAAATCCAGCACCACTGGATTGAATTGTCAAAGTCGACCAAAAGGCCTTAAGACCTTATCCTTCCTTACAAGGCTGAATCAGCCATCCCGAAATAGTACTGCTTTCTTATTTCAGTTAATTTTACATAGCTCATTTGATATTGTCTTTCTTAAAATATTGAGCAATAAAAACATTTTATCTGCACAAATTGTTTTTATAATTTTGTTCTTCAAATGTACAGAAAATGTTATTGATGCTGTCTCATTCTGTGACATAGTAATGTAAAATTTGTGGTCACGTCTATTTTATATATAAGTAGTATTTATATATATATACTGGCTATACATTATTTGATAAATTACAAATTTCAAAAATTTATAATGTCATTAGTCTGATTACAAATTTTAAATCATTACATTAAAGAATGACACACAATTTATCGAATTTCTATACACACATACACACAATATCTATAATCCCGTAGAAATCTTGAACTATCCTACAAGAATGTCCCTAGGACCTTCTGAGGCTGTCCCCAGGACGTTCTGAGCCTGAACTGAGGCTGTTCTAAAAATGTCCTGAAGAAGGTATCCTAAGGATGTCCCGAGGACATCCCGTGAATATATGAATGTCCTCAAAATGTCCCAGGACGTCCTGGGACATATTCAGGATGATCCTGAGAACGTAATGTGCTGTTTGGGAAATTATTAATTATTATTTTTATATTTGTACAGAATATGATAAAAAATAATATGATTTTGCCATATCAAGAGTTAAAAAATGCTCGTAAGGAAATAAAAAAATTACTTCAAAGTGTTGGATTTAAAGTTCACCATTGTAGTCTTCGAGACGCGTGTTATTCCGATGGAAAACCACAACAACGACAATTTTTGAGTAAGTTATTTTAGAAAAAAGCAAAAAATTAATTTTACGTTATAATATTATTAGCTCTTTATAAGGAATGTTTTTTATATTATTCGATTTATTCAATTATATAACATTAA